TTCCGATAAAAATATCATTAAAATGTAATTGTGATATAATATTATGTAATATTATATTAAATAAGCAAATAAAATATACAAAATAAATGATAAAATTTAAATATTTTTCCCGATATAATTTACCTATTTAACAATACAATCTACTATTACCTACGGATCATTCTACCTATGTTTATTCTATGATAAAAAAACCAACCGCGCGAACACAGAGTAGCGCACATTTTTTGTTTGAGATAGCTGTTCTAGTACGTAAGTACATATTACTTCAATGAGTACGAACAAAAGTACTTTGAACTCTGTCTGTCATTACAAGCGTCTTGTGACTCAATTACGTAACCCATCGTACGATATTGTTTTGTTATCGAACCACGTAATTAGTTTTTATTGTTTTTGTACGTGGATTGGACTTTGACAATATACTGCATCAATTTTGTTAATGTTTACCTTTAATTTCTTGGATTAATTTCTATGGTATTATGGTTTTTAATATACGATATTTCAGTCGTGTTTTTTTGAATAAGGGTGATAAACGAGCACGTAGTCCACCATAGAAAATGGATACTGTGTCCCATAGACATCTTTATTCACTATTCATCCTTGATTATGAATCGAAATGTAGATGCGTTGTCACCCTTAGTACTCCGCCTCGCTTCCAGTAAAAAATTAATTTAATTCCAGTAAAAATTTAGTTTATCTGGGTCTTGTCGGTACCAAAACTTTTCTTAGAATCACACTAGATGCGGAGCTTCCATGAGGCACGCCGTGTGTCAAAACTAGCAAGCTGACTTAGTTTTGGAGCATATGCTGTAAAAAAGATTAGAAATCTCACCAGTATTAAAACAGCTAGACTAGTTTATTTAGCTTTTTCCGTAGCATAATGTCGTACGGTCGGTACGGTATTCACTTAATATAAAGAAGAAAATATACAAAATTTGACTTTTTAAATAAAACTAGCTTTTACGGATTTTATCGCATTTATTAACTTATTTTATATTCCCGACGTTTTCAGAACTTTACAGCACCCATTCTCACGGGGGGGGGGGGGGGGGGGGCGGGACTAAAGTGTTCGATGACCCAATGTCATAGTTAAGCACGGCTACCTCCAAATTAAAATTATTAATTATAGTAGTATCTCGAAGTCTTGCAGTTGTATGCTTGGTTGTGGTTTTTCTCACGTAGGACAAACAAAAAGACAACAAAAACCAACGTTAAAAAACACATAACTGATGTGAAGAATCGACGCTCCGGAAAGTCTGCAGTCTGTGAACACGTACAGGATCGCCTCCGTCATTACATCAGACTTTGATAGACTTTGAAATCCTCGCTAAAGAACACCGATTCATTCCAAGAATTATTCCCAAGGCTATTGAAATTAAAAAACATCCTAATTTCAATAGAGAAGATGGCTGGGTTCTACCATCTGCTTGGAATCCTATAATTAATAAAATTAAATCCCAACCCATGCATACAATTGCAAGACTTCAAGATAGACTATAAGTTCATACTGCGTAGATCTGAACAAAAATGGGTTTTTAAATTAATGACTTAATTACTTACTTCTACATTAATTAATAGCTGGTAGTTCGTGTTGCAGCCGTGCAGTGGCGGCGGAAGAATATTCACTACCCCGATGAATCCTGATACATTACGCACCAGGCCCCGAGGGTCGCAGGAGACGACGGAGGAATCTGAAGCAGGTGATCTGCAGCAGCACCTTCCTGACAAGGGCTCAAAAAAACGGCGGTTGTCAGTCGCCTGCCAAGCGTGCCAACTAGATAGATAGCGAAATCCGCCTTATAAGGTCATATTATGGATGAAACGTACGTTTGGAAGTGGACTTTTAATGGACTATAAAGTAAAGTTAAGTTACAGCCTATATGCGTCCCACTGCTGGGCACAGCCCTCCTCTAATTTCTAAGAGGGTTTTAGGGCAAGGAAATGTCCGCCGCGCTGCCCCTATACGCATGGAGGCGGCATGGTCGGTTGGCGCACTTCACATGTCTTCTAAATATTTTTTTTTATTTTTCTGACATGCAGGTTTCCTCACGATGTTTTCTTTGACCACCGAGCACATAGTAAATCAGCACTTAAATTGCAATTAACAATTTCATTGGTGCTGGCGCGGGTTGCCCGTGTACTGTGAAACTTACTGCAAACGCTTAGCCCCTGAGCTACAACGACTATAATAATGAATGGAAATAGACGGATTATTGATTAATTGAATGAATTAATTGCAGTCACCTTCTTTTCATTAAAAGAGCTTTTGTTCTCTATAATGTTATCACATGAGAGCAGTGTTAATTCAGGGGTTTCAAGCTTCGGCGGTAACATTGAAATCAACAACAATTAAAATAGCTATAATTTATATATTACTGACTGATTTATTGCGGAAAATATTTTTTTTACTATCGTAAAATCCTTAGTTAGCGCCTACGTTGCGGAATAAGTAACTATACTAAATTTCAAGTTAAACGGGTGTATAGTTTTTAAAAGATCCTGATGGCCAATCAATGGTATTTCGCATTACCTATCTATATTACTTATATATAGATTATTACGAGCAAGCTGTCAACACTTGTTATATTGTAAACATTGAGATATAATTAGTGTTTTTCCTCGCCTCTTATATTTTTCCACAATATAAGTGGGCTCGAACAAAAACTAGCTTTTTTAACTTTTCTTGGGACATTAATCATTACGGATATCTATTGGCATTATTTCGTACCCGGGCATAACGGAAACCCGGCGGATTGTAGCGGAGGATCTGCCATTGTTCTCTGGAGGAGGATCTGACCACGTTGCTGCATGGAATTTTCTATCCAGTAGTTTTACTGGCACAACACTACTGAGGAATTATCGCCCCAATAGTCTTATAAATAAGATTACTGGGAGTGGTCCTACCGAGTAGGCCTTAATGTTGAAACCATCGGGAAGAAAGTTCTCGGTAGTCCTACTCTATAAAGTACATGATTTTATTTTGTCATTCATGTAAACCCTTTATTCGCCTAATTTGACGCCATACCGCGCGGATCGTTACGGAATACTTGTCGGTGACGTATCGGAAATGAGACATTCTATATTAGTCTACAGGATTGACAACGCATCTACATTTTGATTCTTATTCGAAGATAAATGTAGATATCTATGGGCCACAGTATCCACTTAACATTAGGTGGATTCTATGGTCGTTTGTCACCCTAATGCTATATAATATAAAGATCAAAAAAAATTACATCAATGGTGTTATTTCATTAATTCTGACAAGCCGTTAGCCCGTTAGACAAATAAAAATGTGACAATATATGTAACCGATCATTAAGTAATCAATTGAAATGAAATAATTGTGTTGCAGCTCTGGCTTTAATAACTGGAAAATGTAAGCATTTATTCAAATTTATTCGTTACGGGTAATTTGCAAGTATATTATAAAAAAGACATTAGATATATTGGTACATATTTTACTTTGTTATGTTATTACACCAGAGGAGGAATTATAAATAGGAAACAATTTGCGTTTGTTAGTTTAATGTTACATACATTACATCTCACTACTTTATAATATAGTAATATATATAATCACCGAATAGAATAGAAACAATTTTATTCAATATAGGTTACAATTAATTCTTATTGAAAGTCATTTTTTTACTTTTACTATTGGTTTGGGAAAAAGAATGTTGCAAAATTAAATTCAGCTAGGCGCCACCGTGATTCTACAAGACGGACGACGGTACGATGGACGAACACAGAACGTCACAATATCTGGATTATTACGTCTTTTTACCCAAATCAAGATAAAAAATGTATGGATCTGTATTTTTCCACGCAGGACCGGGAAGTGAGCGATAAAAAACATAAAATTCACCAGCTGATTTTCTTCAAACGATATGGTGCATTGCAATTCACAGAATAGGCGATAACCTCGCAGACGATATTAAGTAATCCGTTGATGCTCTGCCTACCCCGCAAGGGTTACAGGCGATATAAGTATGGATCAGAAATACTATCACCACCTGTCACGCTATTACCCTTAACTATTACTTAACTGTGGTAGAAACAGTTCTTAGTAATCCTTATTAATAAGCCTTAGTAATATTTATTGAACGGAAATGAATACAGATCTTATATGTGGTAATGAATGAATCGGTATTATAATAAGAAAAATTGTGAAAATTATAAGAAAAATATTTTTGAGAGTTCTTATTAACTAACGTATACATAGTTTAAATTGATTCCGCTAGATGTCGTTACTAGGTTTTTAAAACGCGGTAACGAAATGTTTTCTGACATGTACTTAACCCCCGCCGTTGAGCTGCGCGTCAACTTATAGTGCATACGGTACCTATACGCTTAAATTTTTTCTATTTCCTAGCTTATTCGATTACCTGCTTTCGATTTCGGTTGTTTGTTATTTGCTTTGTGATTTGGTTAAGCTTGAATGGATTTATATTGGCTTTCATTTTCGGATTTGTGTATTTTCGTGGATTGGTTTTGTTGATTTGGTTGGTATTCCTTTATACATATTTAGACTCTGGCTTTGATTTTTGATTTTGTTTATTTAGAATCGTGAATTGGTTTTCGTTGTTTTAGGTTGTTTAACAATATTTATTGTTAAACAATACACAATACTTAATTATTGTCCGCCTCTGACTGTGGTTGCTATTAGACGTGTGTTAGTTACACTAATTAAATATTCCTTTTAAATAACCGTCAACTTTAATTAACAGCGAAGTACTAGGAGTTCATATAATCAATGTGGTGTCTATCCGTGACTGCGTGTGTATCGTAGTACATTTGGTTTTTGCGCATCAGCTAACCGCGTGTCGTCTTTTGTTCTCTGAACAATCTACTTATAGTGTACTTCTGCTACAACGTAAACTACGGACTTAAATAAAATATCATTATGTCGATAATACGTAGATCACCCCCAGGAAGTAAAGTGCATCAAGTGTCGTCGGAGAGTGATATTTCAAACATTGAACCTGAAAATCCACTGAATTATGTTGGGAGGAGACAGAAAAAAACCCAGAAATGAAGATCAAAGGAAAGGTATTGATGATTCCCTTAAAGATGAACTATTATCCATGCTCACCAATTGGAAGAAGGATCAAGATCTTATTTTAAGTAAATTGTGTTCAGATATTGCCGAACTTAAGCAACAAAACGCCAACATTCAATCAACTAATATTGAAATGGAAAAGGCGTTAACGTTCATATCCACACAGTATGAAGATATGAACACTAAAATTATCAATTTAGAACGTGAACGAAAGGAAAATTATAACGTATATATTGAGTCTGGAAAATAGATTAGAAGACGTGCAAAAAAGGCTTAAGTCCACAGTCATGGAGTTCCGTAATTTACCTACTCCAGCACAAAACATAAAGCAGGAGACACAACAAGACTTATGTGATCTGGTTCAAAAGATTTGTGATGTTTTAAATGTTAATTTTCACCCATCCGAGATAAAAGACATATACAGAATTAAAACCAAAGCCGGTGTGTCTACTGTCATCACCGAATTAACTTCGGTACTGTCAAAAAATAAGATATTAAGTGGAGCGAAAGAGTTTAATAAAATTAACATTAATAATAAACTCTCCTCAAAATCTATTGGTCTTTCTAGTTCTACAATGCCGATATATATATCTGAAAGTTTAACAAAGAAGGACCGAAAACTTTATATTTTAGCACGTGATACAGCTAAAACAATGAATTACCGTTATTGCTGGACTAATAAGGGCCGAATTTATTTGCGGAAAACTGAAGGTGGCGCTCGGATAGAAATAAAAAATGAAAATGATATTGCAAATTTAAAAAATATAATATGACTAGGTACATTTATAATATTATGCATAACCTATTTAATTATGATTTCTTATAAATTGCTTGCATGTCTAACTAAGTGTGTCTCTGGCTTTATGTTTACAAAATTATTCTGTATGTATTCTAAACTACCCACTGTTTACTTTTATAATTTACTAGTTTATAAACTACTAACACATCAACCCACAAAATATTTACAAACAAATAATATATACACGCTCGACTATTTTTATAACCTCACACAAAAAAACATGCACGTTCAACTCTCAAACCAAATTAACGCTCTCACAAATTACATAATATTTGCTCTTTGCACACATTCATGGATATATTTAATATGCTTAATTATTCTTATTTTCGAATACAAGTTAAAATCTTGTTTATGCTACCTATTTAAAAACATAACTAAAAGGCGCTGCATTAAATGCCCTATTAAATAATCTTGATAATACTTCCTTTAATGAAGCAATATTATGTAATCCTGAAAAATGTGGTGATTTGCTTACGTCTTATCATAGCTGTCTCACTGTTTTGTCTCAAAATATTCGTAGCATCAATGCTAATTTTTCAGGACTTTTAACGTTATTAGAAAGAATTAATACTTGCTGCGACATTATCGTTCTTTCTGAATGCTGGCTATCTTGTAATCCTATAATTCCGATTCTCAATGGATATGATCATTATAAAACTTCAAAACACTACAATAAAAATGACGGTGTTATTGTATACATCAAGTCTTGTTTAGCTAATATTAAAGTAAAAGAACCTATAACAATTGAATTTAACTGTCTGGTGATTACTATAGGTGTAGATGTGGCTATTGTTGCTATATATAGACCACAAGCTTTTGTTGATCCTTCAAAATTCTTTCAGTCTCTGGATCTTGTCCTCACGGATCTTAAATCATACCGAACCATTATTCTTGTAGGAGACATTAATATAGATATTGCTAACGGGTTTCATTCTACAAATACTTTAGATTATCTTGATCTACTTGTTCATCACGGACTTCTTCCTGGTCACAACTTCCCAACTCATGGTTCTACCAGTCTTGATCACGTTAATTTAAAAACTGCTTTTTCCGCTAAGGTTCTAGTTCTGGAAACTACTGTAACAGACCACTTTGCCGTTATGTTTGCCCTCTCAAAAATTAAAATGAAATTATGTAATCGTAAATTTATAAAAAAAAATAAATGAAGATAAGCTTATTCATGAATTACGCTGTATTAACTTTAACTCCGTATACACAACGAATGACCCTAACTTAGCTGTTAAATTCTTGGTCGAACCTATTATTTCAGCTATAGCCAACAATACCAAAACTTTATTTCTGTCTTGTAGACGTAGACCTATTAAGCCTTGGATCACTCTAGCTTTGTTGAAATGCATGCGAAACAGAGATAGATTATATAAAAAATCGAAAAAAGACCCATCAAATCAGATTCTTAGAATTACTTATAAAAGATATCGCAACTTCTGTACCAACCTCCTGCGAAATGCAAAAAGTAATTATGAGAAGCTAGAATTTCAAAGAGCCGGCAAGAACTCCAAACAACTGTGGAAAGTCATTCAAACTGTTACAAATTTATCTAAACAGCAGTCAACGGCGTCTGATCTCCTAGACATCAACGAAATTAATACTCAAAAATCTGTTGAGGATATAAACACATATTTTTCAAATACAGGAAAATCACTAGCAGACAAATTAGAAAGAGGCTCGGCAATATTACCGGCATCCGTTACTTATTCCAAATCCTTTGTTTTGCTTGAAACTGACGAGAGTGAAGTCGAACGTTTGATTATGTCTTTGGATAATAACCGAACAGCTGGTTGGGATGGTATTTCTTCAGAATTCTTAAAGAAGCACAAAAATTTTATTATTTCACCTCTTACATATATTTGTAATTTGAGTCTCCAGACAGGTATTTTCCCTGATTTGTTTAAAAAGGCAATAGTTCACCCTATTTTTAAATCCGGCGACCGAAATCGTATCGAAAACTGCAGACCTGTATCAGTTTTGCGTACGATGTCGAAGATCCTCGAGAAAATAATTAACACAAGGCTTGTTAATTATTTAGAGACTAATAAACTGCTCTCTAAAAATCAATTTGGTTTTCGAAAAAAGTTGTGCACATCTGATGCTGTCCACAGCCTTATTGATTTTGTAATCAGGAATCTAGACATACGTCAAAAATGTATTGCCTTGTTTCTTGACCTTACAAAGGCGTTTGATACTGTTTCGATACCCATCCTAATTTCAAAACTTCAATCTTTAGGAGTAAGAGGAATTCAGTTATCTTTATTCAAAAGTTATTTAAGTAATAGAACTCAATGTGTTAGGATTGGTCCTTATAGTAGTTCTGACCTGCAAATTACATACGGTGTACCGCAGGGAAGTATTCTCGGCCCAAGTTTGTTTTTAGTATATATAAATGACCTGTGTAACATCAATCTTTTAAACGGGATGATCTTTTCCTACGCAGATGACACAGCACTTGTGTTTCATTCGAATACTTGGATTGAAATATATTCCCTTGCTCAAAAAGGGTTTGACGTTGTAAATAAATGGTTAAACGCGCATTTACTTACGTTGAACATAGATAAAACAAAATTAATAGACTTTTCTATTCGAAACACAAAAAATTCAACAACAAACTCATTACAAATCGTTGTTAAGCCTCCCCTTGATATAAGAAATAGTACAGACAATAACGACCTACAATATATAAAAAAAGTGACATCTATAAAATATCTCGGAATTATAATTGATAATAACCTCACATTTAAAGCTTACATTGAACACCTGTCAAACAGAGTCCGTAAACTTATTTACATTTTTAAACAATTACGTCAATCTGCAGATTCAGAAATCATGAAGATAGTTTATATGGCATTGTGGGCACGTGGGGTGGTGCGGCTAAAAGTAATTTTATACAACTTGAACGGGCACAGAGAGCTGTTTTAAAAGTATGTTGTTTCAAACCGCGTATGTTTCCTACAGACCAACTTTACGACTATTGCCAAGTACTAACAGTTAGACAATTATTCATTTTAACCACCGCTCTCAAACAACATGCCTCAACCAAATATATCCCTGAATGGACACGACGTAACCAACTAGTTGCAAAGTCTACTCAAGTTAGAACTGCATTTAGTCATAGATTCTTCATATTCCTTGGCCCCTATTTATATAATAAATTGCATAAAACCTTATCCCTCTTTTCCCGAAATCAATATGAGTGCAAAAATATTATTCTCCAGTGGCTCCTTAAGCAAACCTATGCAAAAACAGAAAGTCTTTTAGAGGTTGTCGTGTAAAATACACACACACACACACACACACACACACACACACACACACACACACACACATACACACACACTTTTCTAAGTTTTCTTAACCATAACCAATTATCTCAATTAGGTATGACAAATAAGTAAATAGAGTTAAACTTTATGTGTTAATGTTTTAGATATAATAGCATTCCTCGCAGAGGTGGGGACCTGGTGACCTGTAATACGGGTATCTTACCCACCATAGGCACCAGCGATCCACGGGCAAAGTTGTTTTGTACTACTTATAGGCTACTTATAACTCTAAATGTAACTTTGTTTTGTGGTGAGAAATAAACGTTATTATTATTATTATTATTTATTATTATTTCAAAGGAATATTAATAGTATAGATAGTGTATACGGTACCTCTACACTTACTTCTTTTTTCGTTGGTTATATTTATATTAGCTACTGCTTTCGATTTCGGTTTTCTGCGATTTGTTTTGTGATTTGGTTTAAATTGATTCGATTTTTTTGGCTATCGTTTTCGGATTCGTGTTGTGTCTTGAATTGGTTTTGTTGTTTTGATTTTAAAAAATATTTAAAAGGAATATTTATTCCTTATAGATATTTTGGATTTGCTTTTAAAAAAATATTTAAAAGTAAATTTAATTCCTTTAACGTTTTTTTATAAATAGGTTTTTTGTTACTTCATAATGCCTCGCAAACGTAAGTCCAGCCTTTCAAGAGTATCTTCTCAAAGACAAGCGAAAAGATTAGCTCGATCACTAAACTATTTAGAAGATGCTGAACTGAGAAGGCAAGAACAAGCAGATCATCAGGCTGCTTTTAGAGCATCTGAGATACCTTCTCAACGTAAGCAAAGGCGTCTTGAATAGACAGAGCGTCAGGCTGCTTTAAGAGCTTCCGAAACACCTTCTCAAAGTTAGGAAAGGCGTCTTGAACAGGTAGAGCGTCAAGCTACTTTAAGAGCTTCTAAAACACCTTCTCAAAGTCAGCGAAGGCGTCTTGAACAGGCAGAGCGTCAAGCTACTTTAAGAGCTACTGAAACACCTGCTCAAAGTCAGCAAAGGCGTCTTGAACAGGCAGAGCGTCAAGCTACTTTAAGAGCTACTGAAACACCTGATCAAAGTCGGCAAAGGCGTCTTGAACAGGCAGAGCGTCAATCTACTTTAAAAGCTACTG